GAGGGAGAAAGGGAGGGAGGGAGATGGTGGTGGGGAAGGGAGGGGGAGGGCAGGGAAGGAGAGAAGCAGGCAGGCAGGCAGGATGTGGTGGGTGGGACTTCCTGGACCGCAGGGATGAAGGCCCGTGCAGACACCAGCACAGGAAGGAGGGCCTGGGGCACTGGTGCTGGAGGGCAGCTGAGCCAGCAGCCCTGGACGCAACAGCTGCATGTTGACAAGAGAGCAAGGACCCCTCCATGTCTGGGTCTCTGTCCCGGTGCTGAATTTAGCTCCTAACCAGACGGACCCTGCCACGCAGATACAGAGGGACTGGCAGAGACTGGGGCGTCTTTGGCCATCTGCAGCGTGGGCCGCAGGTGGGCCGCAGCGGGACCCTGGAGCAGAGTCAAGCACTCCCCTCCCCGTGCTCACCACGCCCCGCTGGGCACACCTGTAGAAGTACTGGCGGACCTCTGTCAGCAGCTTCCCAGCCACGATCTCCATCTCCACAGCACCCCAGGCAGGAACGGCCGCCTCCTGGGGTGCAAATATGTAGTTGTCAGAGACAGGGCCCTGCTTCACGTCACCATTGGCATGGTACTCCAGGAACTCCTGGGTCACGTGCACGGTCCGGTTACTCCAGCTACAGGCAAAACGAGAGCATTTTTCTTCCAGTGGCCACGAGAGCAGAGGGTCAGGACTGGGGACCAAGCGTGCCCCTCTCCCCAGATGCCGCCGTGAGCCAAAAATCCAAACGACTGCTGTGGAGTGGGACCCAACTCACAGCAACTCCTCCTTGGGTTTCTGAGGCAGTATCACTATGGAAGTAGATTGCCCAACCTTCCTTTCGAGGAGTGGCTGGTGGGTTTGAACCACCTTCTGGTTAGCAGTCAGATGCCTTAGGCACTGCGCCACCAGAGCTCCTGCTGAGAGCCAGGAGGGAAAGCAATGACGCCGACGAACCTAGAGCCCGGGCTCCTGCAGCCTCAGCACCAACGTGGCCTTTGTCCCCATGACTCTACCCTGGGCTGGTGATCCAGGTCAGGAGCAGATCACAGGTCATGAAAGGACAGAGGCTCTGCAGGGAGGATGCACCAGCAGAGGTGACCCAGAGACCAAGAAGGGTCACGGGCCTGACTCATTTCTTGAGATGTGGGGGCCTGAGAAGGGTTGGCCCAAACCACTGGGGAGACCTCTCCTGGGTGGTCATCTGTCTTTGCTACTGCCAACAAAGAGCTGTGGAAGGAGTGAGCTCATGAATGAATGATATGTGAGTAGGTGGGGGCATGGGTGGGTGGGTGGTAAATGGGTGGCTGAACAGGTGGGTGGATGATGGGTGGGTGGGTGAGTAGATGGATGGCTGAGTGGGTGGGTGGACAGATGGGTGGGTGGATGGATGGTTGGATGGGTGAATGGATGGGTGGGTGGGTGGGTGGATGGATGGATTGGTGAGTGGGTGGATGAATGGGTGGGTGGATGGATGAATAGATGGTTGGTGGATGGATGGTTGGATGGTGGATGGATGGATGGATGGGTGGGTGGATGGGTGAATGGATGGATGGATGAGTGGGTGGATGGATGGATGGATGGATGGATGGATGGATGGATGGATGGATGGATCGATCGATTGATGGATGGATGGATGGATGGTTGGATGGGTGAATGGATGGGTGGGTGGATGAGTGGATGGGTGGTTGGATGGGTAGATGGGTGGGGTGGATAGATGGTTGGATGGATGGTTGGAAGGGTGGGTAGGTGGGTGAGGGGATAGGTGAGTGCGTTGGACTAGATGATTTCTGAGGTCCCTTCAACTCTAAGGCCAGTATGACTATTTGCTGAATGTAGATTTTATGATTCTCTAAATTTAAAAGGTGGGTAACATGAATATTTCATTTCTTCCCAGAGTTCCTCAATACCCCTTCTTCTATGCATTAACAGCTCTGGGATGAAAAAGCACAAGGCAGGCTTTCCAAATCCCATTCCTGGGAGTAAGGATCAAAATAGGGGGAGGCCCTGCAGAACCGCCTGGTCCTTCTCTGGCAGGTGAGCAGACAGAGGCACCCCTCTGCCTCAGAGCCAGTCTTGGCTGCACCTCACCTGTCCCGGATGCTGTGCATCAGGTGGGTGTCCTGGTCCAGGAGCACAGTGTAGCAGTCGTTCACCACGGGGAACAGGTGCCTGCCCCCACGGTTGGTGTGTCTCCTCCGCCTGCGGCCAAACCGCATGGTGCTGGCCACGGTGGCAGCTGGCTCCTGGCTGCCCTCCTGGCTCCCCGTGGTGGGTCTGATGCTGTAGTGTCGGTAACTGAGGCCTGGGATTGTGGTCAAGATATGCAGGTCGTATGCGGATGGGTTCGACGTTGAGTTCTGGATCTGCAAGGCCATCAGGATGGAAGGTGGATCTCGTGGCCAGAAGACCTGAGTCCCCTCAGGACCCCAGCTCACACACTTCCTGTGAGGGCCTCAAGCTCCCTGGAGGCAGCAGTGGCTCCGTCTCTCTCCCTGCGTCTGTCCCTGGGCCTGGGACCCCCCCACACACTGGCCCAGGTAACTCTGAGGTGACCTGGAGATGGTCACTGGTTCCTCTCCAGCCTTCTCCCACTCAGAGTAGACACCCCCAGCTCCTTCCATCTTCCCTCTTCAGCCAAAGTGGGTGTTGAACATACTGCTCAAAAATGTGTGCTGGTAACCTAACCCCTATACTGTGCGCATAATCCCGCTTGGGAATGAGGCTTTCTTTGTTGTATTAATGAGCCCGTATCAGTGTAAACCATTTTAAAGCTACTCACTTTAGATATGAAAGGAGTAGACTGGGTACCAGGAAGCCAGTACAGACAGGGAAGACCCACGCCATGTGGAGGTCTCCATGGAACACCAAGAAGCACACGAGAGAAGCCAAGATTCCCCCGGAGTGAACAGAGAGAGCCCTCCCCTAGAGGCAGCACCCCGAATTTGCACTGCTGGCCTCCCAACTGTGAGAACTGTTACACAGGGTCACTATGAGTCAGAGCTGACTTGACAGCACCTAAGAACAACTGTGAGAACACACCTGATCAGAAAGAAACAAGACACAACTGGACCAATGAGCAGCTTCACAGTAAATGACGAAAAGATTGAAGTTGCCAAGGACTTCATTCTACTTGGACCCACAATGTCCATGGAAGCAGCAGTCAAGAAATGAAACGACTTATCGCACTGGGCAAATCTACTGCAAAAGTCCTCTTTAAAGTGTTAGAAAACAAAGATGTCACTTTGAGGACTAAGGTGCTCCTGACTCAAGCCGTGGTCTTTTCAATGCATGTGACAGCCGGACATGAACAAGGAAGGCTGAGGAACTGAGGCATTTCAATCATGGTGTTGGTGCACACTGAACATACCATGGACCGCCAGATGAATGACCAACCAGTGCTGGACAGTGCATAGCCGGGATGGAGCTTAGCAGTGAGGGGACGTTATCAGGAGAGACCAGTCCCTGAAGGACATCACACTTGGTAAAGGGGAGGGTCAGTGAAAAAGAGGGATATCCTCCACGGGATGGATTGACATGATGGGCTCCGACACAGCCGTGATCATGAGGATGGTGGGGACCGGGCGGCGTTCTGTTCTGTTCCGTTCCACCCAAGGTCGTGATGATGGTGGGGGACTGGGCAGTGTTCTGTTCCGTTTCACATAAGGTTATGAGGACAGCGGGGACCAGGTGGCGTTCTGTTCCACATAAGGTCATGAGGGTGGCAGGGGACCAGGCAGTGTTCTGTTCCATTCCACATAAGGTCACTGAGTTGGTGCCAACTTGATTGAAAAAATCCATTTTTGTTTTTTAACGCTCCTCCCTTGTGGTATTTCAGCAGCACTAGGAGACTGAGACAGTGGGTGCTCACCTCACCTCTCCTGAGAACCATGGGTGTCCCTGCCGGGCGCCTCACCTGCACATCCAGAGCAGACCCACCCCACCTCCACCTGCTTCCCTCCTATGGTCCACTTCCAACATGGACCTTCCAGCACCCACTCCCACAGCCACCTGCACCCTCATGGCCATTCCCACCCCTAAGGTCACCCCCACCAGGGCCTGCCCAGTTCCTTCCTCAGGACGCCGAGTTCCCTGCCCTGTGGCCCTGCTCCATTGTCACTGTCACCCTCGCCACATGCCACGTTTTCCTGCACATCTGCTGCCTGCCTCAGTCTACCACCTGCCCCAAGGGCAGGTCTCTGCCTGCTACTCCCACAGATTTCAAGCAGGGGCCCCAGAAACACGTGGAGCCGACTCCCCATCGCTGGTGATTGGGGGGGTGTCAGGTGTTGGGTCTGTTCAAAGCAATAGCACTGTCCCCCAACTTCACAGATGACCCCTCCTCCCTCTCACTCCAAGGGTGCCCCCACTGTCACTCCACCTCACAACCGTTGTCTGTGTCTGTAGCGGTGGGACAGGCCTCACTCAGGACAGGACCCCACCAGCCCAGGCCTGGCCCAGACCCACCTCTCCAAGCATTTGCTGAATGACGGGATGTCCCTAAGCTGCCTGCAAGCAGGGCTGGCTGGAGGACATGCAGCCACTCTCACTGGACAGACGCCCCTCTTAGCGAGGGCAGGGCTGTCCCAGCTCCACTCCAGCCTCATCCTCGTGCCAGCAGCTGCAGTCGGGAGCTGATGTCCCCCGTCCTGACCTGCTCAGGAGCCAGCTCCACCCTCCCGCTGCTCTGAGGCTCACTGCCCCGTGCTGTGCAGGGCCAGGCTGGATGACAGTGTCCGGGGGTGGTGCTCACGCCCATACCTGTGCAGGCACAGGGTGGCCCGACTCGTCTGTGACACGGACTCTGGGGAAGCCGACAGTCAGGGTGACGATGGTGGTGACCGTCCAAGCCAGCGGGTTGTAGACCACAGCGGTGGGCCCCTCAGGCTGCACACCTGCACAGGGAAGAGGTTCCAGGGCCCCCACTCACTTGACCACTGAGGTGGCCCCTGGGGGTCCTGGGGGGCGGGTGGTGCTCACGGCTGTGGCAGGTGTCCCATCCTGCTCTGTGGGCAGGGCTGGGGGCAGGGGTGAGGGCGACCCCACTGAGGCTGCTCCGAGCTGGTCCCCATGGATGGGGGCATCCCTGATGCTCCCCCACACCTGCGCTCAGCTCTGCTGTAGAAATGAGGATGCCGGGGCCCAAGGGGACCGGCTTTAGGAGGCCAGGCTTCTCACCCTGGGCACCGAGTGGCCAGCGTCACAGTCACCTGTGCAGCTGGAGAGCCATGTCCACCTGCTGAGCCAGCCTGCAAAGCCCAGCACTATGGGTCAGGTGCCTCTGCGCCAGGCCCTGCCATGCAGACTAGGCTCCCTTCGGTCCCAGCCTGGCAGCCCACATGCCTTAAGCTTCTCCAAGCAGAGGACCCAGCGCCCTGACCCAGTGTGCACGTCCAGCATCCCGGCCTGGGGCACCTTCCCGGGTGTTTGATTTGTCTCACTTGGGGAAGCTGCCTGGCACAGCCCCGGATGCACATGGGGCAGTAAGCGGCCACTGCAGCTGTGTCCACCAGCTGGGCGTCCCCAAGGGCAGGGGCCCACCAGCTCCGTCCCTGGTCCTCAGTGGCCTTGAGAGCAGCTGACAGCTGGTATGACGAGGGATGGGGAGGCCCGGGCCATTGGGGTGCAGACTGATGGTGAAGGCTGCGGGGTGGGAGAGGCACTGTGGGCACAGTGACTGTCACTCTGGGTCACAAGTTGAAAACCAACCGAACAGCACTGACAACCTGGCACTGTAACTGAGCATCGGTCACTCTCGTCTCATGGAGGTGGAAGGGGGGCTCAGGCTGGGAACGGGGTCCCTGCTCACGCTGCGGGCTGGGCAGACGGGGGATCTGGAGGCATAGGAAGCCCCTGGGGTGCGCCCAGGACCTCTCCCCACGGGGCCTGCTTACCAGGGCCTGCTGCCGGCGTCGCCCGCCGCTCCCCTGCCACAGGCCCAGCCAAGACGATGGCGGCCATCAGCTTCTGCACGCCCAGCATCCCCACGGCCAGGTGCTTCTCGTACATGTCTCTCACCTTGGGGGACTCGGTGCCGGTGATGGCGTCGTGGTGCTGGACCTGCGCCCCCATGTTGGGGAGGAGCAGGCTCAGGGCTGTCTCTGCGGCACACCTGCTCCCACCCCCACCCCGGCACGCAGCTTGGCTACATCTCGCCAGGCTCAGTGGGAGGTGGGTGCCAGCCCCTGAAGGAGGAGGACAGAGGCTCGGAGTGGGGCTGCCTCGCTCTTCCCGACCCTGCTGGCGTCCTCCACTTCAGGCAGAAAACAGACTTCTGGGAAGGACCCACCCCAGTGTCCCCTGCACCACCTAGCCCTCCCATTAGTGCAGCTATTCTGTGCCAGGCCCGCTCTGCACAACCCACATTTCAGCTTGTTGGACTGTGGTGGCTTGCGTGTTGCTGTGAGGCTGGAAACTATCCCACTGGTATTTCCAATACTGGCAGGGTCGCCTGCAGTGCACAGGCAGGGCTTCCAGACAAGACAGACAGGAAGGAAGGCCTGGATTAACACCCAAAAACGGGGCCAGTGGAAACTTCACGGACGCAGTGGGTCACGTCTGGTACAGGGCCGGAAGGCGAGCCTCGAGGCCGGAAGGCACTCAAAATACGACAGGGGAAGAGCCGGCTCCTCAGAGCAGAGCAGAGGAGACAACCCCAAACCAAACCCACAGCCAGTGAGTCGATTCAGACTCAGAGACCCCCATTGGGTTTCCAAGGTAAATCAAATGTGAAGGCATTCGACTGTGTGGATCATAACAAATTATGGATAACACTGCAAAGAATGGGAATTCCAGAACATTTGACTGTGCTCATGAGGAATCTGTACTAAGAGGCTGTCGTTTAGACAGGACAAGGAGACACTGCATGGTATAAAATCAAGAAGGGAGTGAGTCAGGGTTGTATCCTTTCACCACACTTATTCAATCTGTGTGCTGAGCGAATAATCCGAGAAGCTGGACTATATGAAGAAGAACGGGGCATCACGGTCGGAGGAAGACTCATTAACAACCTGTGATGTGCAAGCAACACAAGTTTGCTCGCTGAAAGTGAGGATGACTTGAAGCACTTACTGATGAGGATTAAAGACTACAGCCTTCAGCATGGATTATACCTCAACATAAAGGAAACAAAAATTCTCAGAACTGGACCAATCAGCAAATCATGATAAATGAAGAAAAGCATCTCATTTTACTTGGCTCTACAGTTCACACCCATGGAAGCAGCAGTCAGGAAACGAGATGTCATATTGCACCCCGCAAATCTGCTGCAAAAGACCTCTTTCAAGTGCTGAAGAGCAAAGATGCCACTTTGCAAACTAAGGTGCCCCTGACCCAAGCCATGGTATTGCCTCACAGGGAAGGCCAAAGAAGAGTTGATGCCTTTGAATCATGGTGTTGGTGAAGAATACTGAAAATACCAGGGCCTTCAGAAGAAGGAACAAATCTGTCCTGCAAGTACCACTGGAATGTTCCTTAGAAGTGAGAATGACCAGACTTCTTCTGATCTGTGTTGGTCATGTTGTCAGAAGGAAGCACTCCCTGGAGAAGGATACCATGCTTAGTGAAGTGGAGGAGGGAAGGCCCCCAACGAGAAGGACTGACACAGTGACCGCAACAATGGGCTGAAACACGGCCGTGAGCGTGAGGCTCAGCAGGACCGGGAAGTGCTCTGCTCTGTTGCGCACAGGGGCGCTACGAATCGGGAAACGACCCTGAGGAGGTCCCCAGGGGTCATGACCTAAAGGCTGGTGCTCCGGACCCAACCAGCGGTACCCCAACAGAAAGGCCTGGAGCGGCCCCACCCTTTCACCAGGGAGCCCTGGTCAGGATCCGAGGGACTAACAACTGTTCTGCTCCGAGACCCAGGCCCAAGCCCCAGGGGAAGGCCCAGGCCCGGGCCCCGGGGGAAGGCCCTGGCATGCTAGCTCTGCCCACTTCCAAGTGCACCCTTCCAAAGGGACCCCTTCAGGCAATTGAAAATGGACAGCTGGTGGTGCCCTTTTCTGGCTGGGTGATTGAGGACAAAGTACGGGCATCTTGCCCTCAGTATTCACATCTGTACAATGGGGGTGAGATTTATGAACACTTTGCCCCGTGGCAGACACCGTGCAGGCAGGGGTCCTGCTTCTCACTCCCGGGCTGGGTAAGTGGCTCTCACTTCTCAGCCAATGATAGGGCCCAGAGAGGGAAAGGCGCGTGCCTGAGGCCACACAGCTGGTCAGGGGCAGAGCCCAGATGTGGACGCAGGCAGCACTGTGAGCTGCACAGTAATGCAGGGAACCCCCCCCCCCCCCCCCCTTTATTCCTCTACTGAAATCGTCCACATGGGAAACTGAGCTTCTGAAGGCTGTCAGACCTCAGGCCCAGCCTCCTGACCGAAGGTGCCCCCCGTTGTCCCATCTGTGAAGTGGGCTCTAGCGTCCTGGGTGCAGGAGGACGTGCTGGGGTGAGTAGGGTAGGTCCCGTTACCTCGGAGACGGCCCAGCGGAGCTGCCGCAGCTGTTGCAGGGCCCAGGCCGGGTCCAGGAGCCCGTGGGGGCCTGGCCACATGTAGCGTGTGAACATGGACTCGCCAGCGTGCAGCAGGGCACCGGCCCGTCGCGCCAGCCCCTTGAGCGTGATCCGGGACGTGTAGAAGCCCGTCCAGGCCTGAAAGGGTTCTGGAGACCCGTGGACAGGGTCTGAGACTCCCAGAGTGCTGGGGTGAGACCTCGCAGGGACGGGGGCCCCCAGGATGCCACCCTGAGAGGACAGGAGCTCCTGAGACATGGCCCACGGGCCTGGGAGTGGGTGGCAGTGTGTTTCCTGCCTCCCATGGCTCGAAGCATGATGCTGGTTTGGCCCTGTCCCCTACACCTCCCCAGCAGGGATCTGTCCAGAGCCCAGGACACGGGCATGAAGCAGACCACGCCCTGCCCCCCCATTACTGTGCAGCAACAGAAGGAAGCCTGGGGTCCCTGAGTGGGCATCGCCCAGCCTCACCATCCAGTAAGGCCCCCTGGAGCAGGTGGCATGGGCGGGTAAGGGCACCCCGTGCAGGGAGGAGGCCCTGTAGGTGCCTGTGGGTGTTAAGGCATGGACGTGGGGGACTGCTGGGTGTGGATTCAGCGAGGGTCAGCATGGAGGCTCAGGGACGGGGACAGGGCTGTGTCTCCCAGCGCCCCACACAACCTGGAGGGCAGAGTGTGGGCTCCAGTGGGTGGGGGGGACTCACACCTGAAGAGTAGGGCAGGAAGTCCTGGGGGCCGCGCACGCTCCAGGTGGCGTTGAGGTCATGCAGCGCACTGAAGTAGTCGGCCAGTGTGGCGTACTGCACCGAGACACCCAGCTCGGCTGAGCGCTGGTTGACACGCTCTAACAGGGGGTCCATATTGGCGAACTGCACTGAGGCGTTGAAGAACTGCTTGTCACAACCCTGCGGGTGGGTCGGGGGCTCGTCACCATCCCCTCACCCTCCAGCCCCTACGAGGTCCCGTCTCGTAGAGCCCAACCGTCGTGTTACTGCTTGTCACTGTCAACCGGCCCACGGCTGTGCTTTTCTCGCTGACCTTGTGAAGGTCCCGCTGAGGCAGCCCAGGGTAGAACAAAGTCCACCCTTCCCAGCGGCCCTGCCCGCTGGCCATGTGGCCTCAGGACAGTTCCTTCCTCTCTCTGGGCTTCAGTTCTCTCATCTGCAAAATGGGGGAAACAGCACCTCCTGTCTGGGCCCAGGGGTGCAGGCTGAGGGGACGAGCGGACAGAGAGCACAGGACATGCTGGGTGAACAAGGCCATGTGGGCGCTGTCCCCGCCCATCAAGCCAATGCAGTGAGGACGGATGTCACCGTCTTACAGACGACAGGGAGGCTCATGGGGCCCGGACTCACAGAGACTAGATGAGGAGTCAGGGCTGCGCCCGGGCCTCGGAAGCCCGAGGGGTGGATGCTGGTGGAGCCCAGGAAGCTGGGGATGGGCTGGTGGAGGGGTGAGGCCCTAGGGCTGACAGGCTGCTTGGTTAGAGCTGGAGGGACCCAGGGTAGTCCCAGGGGCCAGGGCCACGTGGCAGTCCCTGAGCTGTGTGGAAGCCAGGAGCAGGAGCCCCATACCCAGGGCCAGAGGACATGGGGTGTCCGGAACCAGGTGGCCCGCTGCCTCACGTTGGCTGCCAGGGCCTCCGCGTAAAGGTCGATGTTGGCTGGGGTGACGGGCTCACTCATGTTGGGGTACACCCCATCCGGGGGAGGCTCTGGGAAGACGGCCACGCCATTCCAGTAAAACCCGGACCTGTGGGAAAGACTGAGGTCAGGGGGCCCCTCAACCGGCAGCAGGGTGAGGGAGGCAACCAGGGTCACAGAGCCCCGCCCCAGGGTCAGAGGGCCCTTCCTGGAGGGTTGAGAGAGCCCCTAGGGTCTGGGGAGTCCTGTCTCAGGACTGGGGAGGTCTGGTGGGGGCAGAGCCCTGTGTACGGAGGTTCCACCCCACGTCCACAATTTACCAGTGGGGACCTGGGCGTCACTTCACCCCAACTCCCCCAGCTGCCACGTGGGCCAGTTGCCCACCCCCCTCCCCACTGGTGAAGCCATGAGTCAATCAAGGCAGTTGTCTGCTCATCCAGTGCCTCCCTGCCTGTCAGACTTGGGCCCGAGGGCTGCAATAGGACCACGTGAGGGAGAAGCAGGTGAAGCAGGTGAGGTGAGGGGGGTGAGATGAGGGGGTGAGGTGAGGGGGTGAGGTGAGGGGCTGAGGTGAGGGGGGTGAGGTGAGTGAGGTGAGGGGGTGAGGTGAGGGGGGGGGGTGGG